AATTAATAGGTAAAGAATAATATTTATAATAAAGGCACTGCAAATTTAGACATGTAACTGTACAAACGTTATGAAATGATTTCGTCGTATCGCTCGTCTATGTGACTAATCTCTCAATTATCGACGTTAAAACTAAAAATATAAAAGGAAATTGCAATGTCTGTCGTAATAAATTATGATACGTGCCCGCGATAACGGCTTTTTAAATTACACGTATATTTAGATATCTATATTTTATTTACCGTCTTATGGGTGCTGCGGGCCGTTTAAAAATTGTTCGCGGGCCGTAGTTTGGAGACCCCTGATTTATATTACAAATATTTATTAATTTATTATTATTCTGAAGCGCCTCATAAATTCAATATTTGTATATTGTTATTATTATTATTATTATTATAATTATTAAGAGCGACGCGCATCCATTGTATGCCTAGTTGTTGTTTTTCAATCATTAACGTTGAATCGTACGATCGGTCTTAACTATACCTACCTCGTAACCAAACGCGAGTTTTTACGGTCAACTGCCACAGCCGTAAGAGTCGCCACGGCGGTGACAAAGGCAATTATTATTATTATTATTATGGTATTATTAATTAACATGTCGATGATGCAAGCGTCCATTCTAAGAATAGTATATTTTCAATTTGTATTTATAAACAATTAACATTATAACTGCCGGTATGCAACAAGGCGATCGCACCTCGGCCCGTTATACCATGTACCAACAATATCATCTTAAAAATAAATTCATAATAATATTGCCGCCGGAAAAATGTTAATCACTATTATTATCTACGATCTGGGCCGAAACTAACCCCGACAACGGGTTCGATTTCGAGGGCGCTGGTTCTCGCCACCAGGTAGGATCCGTGGGTTTTGGAGAACGATAATTTAAACTTCTCTTGTCGGGGGGAGACAGCGAACAGCGAACTTGCGCTCAAGGGCGGTCCGGGGTAGCGGCTTCCACCTACGCGGGCCGTTCGCGTAAAACGTGTTTCGCGCTCTGAGTCACGGAGCCAAGTCGCGACTTTTGCAATTCCAAAGTCATTTTTGGAGCCTATACGGTGCGACGGCTGGTTAGACGGCGGCACACCGACCCGTCGTCTGGAGGGCTCGTTCTTCGTCCCTCGAGTGGCGGCCGGCACGTCTCACGTTAGCCTCGGTCAATATAATGACATTCCGAGGCCAAACGCGGTAACGGACGAAGGACCGAGTCGTGATGGTGCCTATCGCTCATTCCTATATGTTGGTAGCTGCCGGGGTGTCGTCCCGTAGGCGAGTTATGTTCAACCAATAACAACGTTAAGTTTACGAGTGGTACGTCGGGAGGCATGGTTAGCCCAAGGCGGCGCGTGTCCTACGTGTCTTTCCGCCGTTCTCAGTTCAGCTTTGGCTAAAACTGAGGTTGGACTCGACGGGGCTGTGTCATCGCTAGAGAAATCAAGCGAGCACCTGGCACTCCGGGCCCTATTTGGGGTTTTCACGGTACGAGAGTCGGAAACTTGGCGGGGAGCGGCGAAATCCGCTTGGAGTGAGTCCATCTACCCGTTGCGGCACCTTTCCGTAACTAGTACCTAGTGCTAATATACGGTATTGTGAACGATAAGAGCCGAGCTCAACCAAACCCAGGAACTACCATGTTATTATCTACGATAATCGAGGTTGCACCGACGACCTTAAAGTGTATAAAATTATGAAAAAATAAATTTACGTAGGGTCCCGCTAAATTCCGCGCTAGGCCCTAAGATCCATAGGGACGGTACTTAGTATAACAAGATCATTGTTTTCACTACCTCAACTTGATAAAATATTTTGTCGTAAGTTTAATTTTTGATAGTCAACTCTCTCGCTCGGTGGCCGCCACATCACAAACAATATTACTAAACGGTGGGTTGTTAGGGACATTTGAACACCGTGAGGTCATTGTTTTTCGAAACGAAATACTTTCGTCGAAACGACAGCAACTGTTAAAACATAATCGTCAGTGTACCCAAGATAAAATATTTTTACGTGTTGGTCGTTATGATCGACGTGGGCGTTTTTAACCACAGCCTGGTTCACGCTTATATTTTAACAACAAATACAATTTAAAACATGGTCTATGCAACAAATTTTATTTTAACTACGATTAAACAAGTTTATCTCTGTGTAAATATTTGGTGCAACCCGACATAAGTATAACATTTAAATATAAAATTAAATAATTGGATGATTATCAATTATAATACAGCAATACAAGTGTACAATAAACATGATTACGTGTCAATATGCTGGCTGATGTAAGCTTATCATGTATAATTTATAGTCGAAAACAATTCGATAATACGAACGAAAATAGAAGATTCCAAGTGTTATAATAACAAAATAACAATATTGTAATTCTAATAATAAGCTGAACGCTAATTCATCTGATAATTTTGTGATAGGTTGATGTAACTATTATTATTTATTATACGCATTTTTCAATAATTAATAATTCTTCCTAAACGTTATAATACGAGTATAATGGAAAACTTTCGTTTTTACCGTTTATAAATTGCACCCCTAAAAAATAGCCACCGGGGGTGACTGTCCCTTTTTCTCCCCTTTTAACCGTCACTGTTTTTAACGAATTGTTTTTCGCGTCGAATAGTTTGGACGTGATAATTCCTATCGTATAATAGTTCTCCATTGATGGTTGCTTGCAATTTTATATGAAACACAACTACGCACGTTGAAATTTATAGCGAAATCGTTATGTGCATTTCGATTGTGGTAATAAGGAGATTACATACAACGGAAAACAAATTTAAAATTCTAGAGGGGGCAATTGCCCCTTCTTTCCCCCTTCTGGGAACGCCCATGTGTGTACAGAGTGTCACAAGAGGACTTCCTAGTCTTAGCCTCTCGAGATGACTCATAAAATCCTTGTGAGGGACACCCTCAACGTAAAATGTGTAACTACACAATTCTATTGATCAATATGAAAACATAACCGAAAGCATGTTTGAACACGTTGCTTATTGTTTTTGAATTCTAATCGAATTTGAACAAACAGAACAATATTATTATTATATCTTTTATAACTACGTAGTAGGTAGTCATTTACACATACAGTCAAAGGCGTATTTGGCCATTTGACATCTTGGGTCATAGCAAATTTTAACTTAATTTTACCATTCTTACGAAATTATAAGGATTATAATATAAGATTATATTATAAGCGGCACCAAAATTAAAAAAAAAAATGTTTCTCGGAGCCCATCCCCTTTCCCCCTTTCCCGTCACTATCATGCAAGGTACTTATAATGTACATTTTAATTAGGACGTTACATAATAATTTGTTCTGAAATCAATGGTGTGATATTTATTTGGAACGCATTCTTTAAAAATTGTAATTATACTTCTATGTCTTGACAACTATTAAATATTTATCTTATTTACAGTACAAAAATAATAGCAGACAATTATTAACGAGAATGGCCTAGAAACTCATTCTATTTAATAACAACGCGAAAATAATTCATTAAACACGATTACCAAAAAAAAAAAATCATCATACGAATGTGCTGGTAGGTATATAAAAATTAATTACTACGAAATGCACCATTATTACTCAATTTAATACTTACAGTGATTAGTTTGATGGTAAACTTTACTCGTGATTAAGCTATTGCTCACAGTTTAAAGATGTTTTTTACGAGACGAAAACGTTTCTGAAAATGGAAATCGTATCAAAAATTCGTATCACAAAAATACTTGAATCGTTTTGTACGAATACAGACATAATACAACGTTTAACGTTCCTCGTAAATGCTCCGTGCTAAGTAGTAAAAACATGGTATTAATATGAAACGTTTCTAAATGTGATGAACATATTGGCGTAAAAAATGCTGTTTCTGTAGCAAAAAACCCATGTAGAACGTAGAACACATTAACGTATTCGATTTTATGGTGTAAAATATTTAAAACTGTGTATTTTATGTACACACAGAGTTAAATGAAATGATAATTGTATAATACTCGACGCATTATCATTTATTGTCATTTACTTATAGTTGACTGAAGAATCTCAGACCAGACCCTCTATCGAAACCGTTCAACACGAGCCGTCGGCTTTGTGAAATTATAATGAAATCAACGCGTTCGTCACACGTTTGTATTAAGGTAGGCTTTCCCTTGGCGATCAGCGAACGCGATCTACCGTGGTTTTTTTCGAAGAAAAACGAAAAGAACATGATCCATTATTTAAAAAAATTAGTGCGGAAGGTTATCACGAGATATTTATCAACGGTCGTTTGAAAAATAATTAAATCAAATTTAAAGAATTTTTTAGAACAAACCGTGATCAGTATGATTTTGTTTTAAATTTAATGAGAGACGACCAACAAGAGCCATAATGTTTAGAAACGCATTCAATCAAAGTTTCGTCTTCGACTTTGCTGAATGCGGTCATCGGAGCACTCGTTGTAGAAACACACGACCAACGTCAACCAGTAGTCAATCATAAAATAAGTGTCGAACCATATTTATTTTTTTTTTCGAAACAAAAATAAATCGCGGCGCGAGGGAAATACATAATATAATATACTTGATTGCACATTGTACCAGTAGTCGCGCGATAATGATGTGCGATCTTAGATCGCGCAAGGGAAAACGTACCTTTAACAGACGGACAGAGATGGAGGGAGAAAATGTTGTTAACTGTCCACGCGGTTCAGGCGCGGTCCGTCTTCAGGAACGTTCGTTGTGGTGCCCGCGCGGTGCTGGACGCCCAGCCGCTGGAACCGGACGAGCCGCTGCCGCGTCCAGTCGCGCACTACGCTCGCTGACACGACGAATATTGTATATATATATATACATATACAGGACGCGATACATTACGAACGGTCTTATAAAGACTAATTTTATTTCGTATTAGGAATACGTGTTCAAATGAACGACGTGAAGGTATTCAGAATATGTATCGAAATAATTCCAAAAAAATATATTTAGAATGAATTTTGGATACACTTGAAAAATTATAATACAATTACTATGTTTTATTTTTTAACTGTCTTTTTTTGTTCAAATACCGTTTCATGGTTTTCGGTAACCTCTTCAACACCTGCAACTTTTGTCTCAGTTTCCTCGTGATCGTTCCAATTATTCGTTCTCGAAATTTCTTGCCGATTTTTTGTGTCAACCTTCCCAGCGCATTGAGTTTAAGCTTCTTGGTGGTCACCTCACGTCGGACACGGCGGTTCGCTGAGCTCTTTATTAACGGTCCCCACGGGTGCGGTTCTTTCGTAGTCGGAATCTCCCCGGTCGTCTCCTCCTTGATTCCCAGTTCCTTGTTGTTCGGTTTCCCTTGCGGATTGGTAGTAGGCGCCTCCGTTTCAGCAACCGCATGTCGAACAGGTCCGGCCACTAATTTCTGGTTAGGTCTGTACGGTCGCGTTGTGTACGGTCTGTTTGGGGGTGGTTGATAAGTTGTCCGCTTCCACCCGGTCGGATCCCTCCTCCATTGTCTCAGTCCCTCGTTGTTCGGCTTCCCCTGCAGATTGGTAGTGGGCGCCTTCGTCTCAGCGACCGCACGTTGGACAAGTCCGTCCACTAATTTCCTCGGCGGTCTCCACGGGTGCGGTTTTTTCGTAGTCGGATTCACCCCGACCATTTCCTCCTTGATTCTCAGTTCCACGTTTTTCGGCTTCCCTTGCGGATCGGTAGTAGGCGCCTCCGTCTCAGCGACCGCACGTTGGACAGGTCCATCCACTAATTTCCTCGGCGGTCTCCACGGGTG